AACTCCTTCACACGAAGAAAACATGTTTAACCAATTAAAAGCTAATTTGAGCCCACCAAAGAAAAACAAGAGAAGATAATTTATGATTTTTTTTTGTTTTTGAAGAAATGAAGAAAAAATGAAAAGAAATGAAAACGCTGATTTGTACGGATACGGCGGTCTACTCAGTGGAATTTCTGAAAACACTGACAATTTTGTAAATATTCTTCTACATTTTGTCAATAAGCTCTATTCGAATCACCTTCGATTTTCTCTTATTTGTTTTTTTTTTATAAAAGTTTTGAGACTTGTCTTTCTTTCGCCACTATTCTTCTGTCTTGTAAAATCTTTGTTGTTTTTCAGTGTTTGGCTGTAATAGTTAATGGCGAATTTCTCCACGGATAATTCTAAAATGAAAAATGAAAATAATAACAAGTATTTAGCATCTTGGCGTTTTTCAATATTTCTTTCCACATTATTATCTATCATGTGGGTCTCAATCATCGAGACTTCCACTTTTGATTTTCTTTTTTTCTCTTCCTTCTTAAAAAAAAAAAAAAACTTAATCTGATCTTTTCTGAACATGGCCGTTGAATTTGATAGCCAGATTCACACTAATCTTCTTCCTTCAATTATTTCTTCTTCATCTTCTCTTGGCGTGAGATTTGAGATACGTGTTAGGTACCTTGTTACGAGTCTCAGTTTGTTCATCTTTTACATCGCAAGCAATCCAAATCACTTGACGCTTTCTCCAATAACAAAATCAGACATTTGGAGAGAGAGAGAGTTTCTTGTTGGCGGAAATTGATTTTGTCAGAGAGTGAATTGTAAGTGAGATCAAACAAATTTGCCCCCTTTTTAACGCTTTCCAATAAAAATATATATTTTGAGGTCGCGATCAAATTGGAGAGGTTAAAGCTGCGTTTTTTTTGCAGATGAATTGGGTTTGAATGTTTGGTGGGTTCGTAAATGGACCGGAGGAGTTGGCTTTGGCGGAGGAAGTCATCGGAGAAAAGTCCCGGCGAAACAGAGAGTACCGGCTCCCTATCCTCTCATTCTGAAAGATTCTCAGACGATCAGGTCACATTCTTCTTTCTGAATCGGAAAAAAAAAAAAAATCCGACTTTATAGCTTAAAACTTGATTCCATGTATCAATGGAGATAACTGTGAAAGTTCAAAGCTTTTGTGGGGCACTTTATAGCACATTGCTGCTAAAACCTTGTTTAGTGTATGATTCTAATTTGTGTGTAATGTGTGTGAAAATTCAGAGATCTCAATCACCGGAATTAATCTCAAAACCTGTGACAAGAGAAGAAGAGGCAACGGCGGATATCAAGATTCTAACGGAGAGGCTCTCTGCTGCTCTTTTAAACGTCAGTTTAAAAGAAGACCTTGCAAAGCAACATGCTAAAGTTGCAGAGGAAGCTGTTGCAGGTTAGTTTGTTGTGTTGTTTTGTTTTCACACAGAAATCAAATTTAGTACTTCTCGGTGATTGAACGAATGTGCATGATTGATTGATCTTTAGGTTGGGAAAAGGCAGAGAACGAAGCTGAGGTTCTGAAGCAACAGCTTGATGCTTCTGCAAGCAAAGTTTCAGCTCTTGAGGATCGAAACAGTCATCTTGATAGTGCGCTCAAGGAATGTGTGAGGCAGCTCTGGCAAGGAAGAGAAGAGCAGAACCAGAAGATCGAAGAAGCTATAAACAAGAAATCCGCAGAGTGGGAAGCTGAAAAATCGAAACTTGGAGCCCAAATCGAGGAGCTTCAAGCTAGACTTCGACCAGGAAAAGAAGAGGTTGTTGTTGCTAATGAAGATCTTTACCTAAAGCTTGAGTCTTTAGAGAAAGAGAACTCAGGTTTGAAGCTGAAACTAGTTTCGAAAACAGAGGAGGCAGAGATTAGAACCATTGAGAGGGACTTGAGCACTCAAGCTGCTGAGTCTGCTAGTAAACAACAGTTGGAAGGGATTAAAAAGTTGACTAGACTTGAAGCTGAATGCAGGAAACTGAGAGTCATGGCTCGGCGATCAAATGATAACCAATCAAACAGCTGTGAGAGAGTTTCTTTTAGTGACAATGAGATGCAGAGTCCTTCCTCTGTAAAGGTCATTGGGAAAACGTCAATGGCTCCTTCAATAAACATTGGTTTGATGGATGATTTTCTCGAGATGGAGAAGCTCGCTGCACAGCCGCATTCAGAGAGTAACAAGGGATTAGAGAAACCTTCAAGCCAACAAAAACGTGAACTTGAAACCTCACTTCACAGGATTTCTGAATTAGAGGAAAAGGTAGAGATGGTAGAGGTAGAGAAACTGCAGTTGGAGATGGCTTTGAATGGATCCAGAGAGGAAATTGAGGTGTTGCAGAGTCGATTAATGGAGACAGAGGAGAAGTTATCCGAGGTGAAGAAACTGGAACCTAAAGCTCAAGATCTAGAGTTGTCTTTGGGTGAATCAGGAAAGCAAATTCAGGATCTTCAAAGACAGCTAAAGAAAGCACAAGCGAATCTCTCAGAGCTAGAGACTGCAAGAGCAGAGAACCAGGATCTAGAGAAGTTGCTGGATGAATCAGGAAAGCAGATTCATGATCTTCAAAGACAGCTAAACAAAGCACAAGTGAATCAGTCAGAGCTAGAGACTGTAAGAGCAGAGAAGCTGGAACTGACCATATGTTTAAACGGGACAAAGAAGCAGCTTGAGACATCGCAAAGTCGGCTAAAGGAAACAGAGAGAAAGCTAACAGAGCTTCAGACTCTGCTGCGTCTAACAAAGGATGCAAAAGAAGCGGCTGAGGATGGTTTGAGAGCTGCAAGCGAGAAAGCAGAAGCGGTTGAGTCAAGACTCAGAGATGTCGAAGCAGAAGCGGAATCTTTGATCTTGAAGATCGAATCTTTGGAAGAGAGTAGAGAGAAGGAACGTGGTTTATCAGCAAAGCACATTTCAAAGTGCCAAGAGCTGCAAGATGAAATCTCAAACCTGAAACACGAACTTGAACATCGTCAAGAAGCAGAGCATGAGACTAACCATGTGATTGCTTTTGATGAAGATTATAAGCTGAAGCAGGTAAGACTCTTTTCTCGTCTATGTGCAATATTACATAATACTGCATAGAAGGCAATAAAGCTCGTTTCTTTTGTTCTAAAACTTAAAATGTGGCAATGTCAGGAGAAGGAATTAGCAGTGGCTGCCTCAAAATTTGCAGAGTGCCAGAGAACTATTGCTTCGCTGGGTCAGAGATTACAGTCACTTGCTACACTTGAAGATTTCTTGATTGAATCTTGAGGAGCTCTCTGATCAAAATCAGTAGATATGAAAACAGGGTTGAGACTTATATTTGTCAATAGAAACAACGGAAATGGATATAGTTTTTGTTTCCTTTTATAAATTTATATCCATTTAATTTCTATTGTTTAAGATCAAATCAATTATCAACAGAACTTTGTGCAAATACAAATAAAATATAGTGATCTGTGGAAAAGTATTCCTCTTTCTTTTGTATGTATCTATCTCATCCTTGAATCCACATACTTTACTTTCTTTTTTTTCTTGTGAATCAAAACCCCAAAACCAAAATTGATTCGAGAATATTTTGTGTTATTTTAAACAAGAAAAATCAAATAATAATGGAGCAATCTATTAGAACATGCATTCTATTCATAAAAGTACGTGAAATCGTATAAATCTCTGTGTGAATACGAATTGGTGTATCCAAAGTTTGTTCTTTTTTATTTATTTCACATAATATAGACTCTTCTATTTTAAATTTAATAAAAGTGCCTTATACCTTATACAAAGTAACAATGCATTATGCAGAATTCTCCATTGAGATCATTTTTAACATACCGAATAATTTATATTTAGTAGACTAGTAAAAGCTGACTGAGAATTCTCCATTTTTTTTTGATCGGTTTATTCAAATGTTGATAAAAAAAATGTGAATTAAGCCATAAACGGTTTTGTTACAAATCACAAGAAGAATCTTTCAAAAAAAATTAGTTTTGGGTTTTTTTGGTTAATTATGATAGGGTTTACAACAAATTTAGTTTGGCTTGTTTTGTTTACGACATATTTACCACTAAACTCAGATAATACCCAAAAAGTGTACAAACTTGTTCTAAATTTGCATATGTTATCCAAAAATAATATACTATAACTGATAATGTATTCAAGAAGGCTATGAACATACATCAACCGAGTGGAGTGCGATATCAGTTGAGTCAACTAATTAGTCGTTGAATTAGTCGTTGAATGAGAGATTCTGGTTTTCTTCTGATCATGAAAAGGAAATTGAAGAGTGTCATATATAATATACACCACTTTTATGTAATACACCACATTGTGTTTTAGAATTTTCTTTTATTAAGATAGGTCATAAGACGATTTGTCTACGGTGGAGTTGATTGTCTAATGAAAACATAGACTTATTTCGTAAGGTTAGTTGTAGACTACTAGAAAGAATCACTTTTATCAAAAGACATTGAAATCTGAATGATGAGAAGTTGAATCTCTAATAAAGGAACTTGGAATCACATCCATGAATACAAGGACACGACGTGAACAACATGGACAGAGTCTCTATATACATGAAGGGCTAAATCAAAAGAGGGTTGGGACTAGAGTCTATAGATATTTGTCAATAAAAATAAGGGAAAGAAAATGGATGTAGTTTTTCTTTAGTTTTATAAATTTATCCATTCAATTTATATTGTTTAACATCAAATCAAATTATCAACAGAACTATGTGAAAATACAAGCTCAATATGTCAAAAGGAAAATATAGTGAGCTGTGGAAAGTATTTCTCTTTCTTTTGCATCATTGCATGTATCCTACTCTTTCAATCCACCTTCGATCAAAACCCAAAATTGATTCCAGAATATTTTGTGTAATTTTAAACCATAAAACAACTCAATGCAACAAATTTAATTAAAAATAATCTTTTAAATTAGGCTATACTCTTTTCTTTTCAGAAAAGCGTTCCAGCACAAACTGTACAGCATTTTGATTGGATAAGACAGTACAAGCTAATAGATTAAGGTGTGTTCCGGTTGCTCGATTTGCAGTGAGCTTGGAACGTAAGAGTACACAAGCGGGTAACAATACATGTCTCTACATTGGCCAAGATCAACTTGTTTGAGGTATCCATTACCACCATTACCACCAAATATGTAAGCAGTGTTGCGAACGGTGGGGCCAGGTTGACCTTTGTCTTTATGAAGAACCAGAGCGAGCTTCTCCTCCTCGTCAACAAAGAAACTTCCAGCGTGATTGTAAACCCGAACACCAATGAGTGGTCTCATATCAACAGCTAAGAACAAGCTGCCCCACGACACTGCATTGTGCTCAATCTTACTACTAATCCATATCTTGAGTGTGTGTGCAGGTGTACCGAATTTCAGAAACAGCACCGCGAGCTGCTCTTCTCTAACACTTGAAAGCGTCGCAGTGTCTCCAACGAAACCGTGGAAAGGCAGAGGCAGACGCGGTCCAAATCTCTCCGTTTTGAAATCAAAACAGATTAGGAAATCTGCGAGATCGAATGTCTTTAGTGGACCACTTGTCGGGCTCTTGTCATGAGCATACCAGTAAGTGTTGCCCTTTAGAGACAAGCCACGTTGATACAACTCCACACGCCAGTCCGGAGAGAAATCATCAACAAGCTTCCACGAATCAGAGTCCAAACTGTAGATTTCAAGCTCAGAAACTCGGTGCTTGACTCTCGTGTCGTAACCATTCGCAAATCTCAAGACTTTGTGCTGCTTCTTCTTCTTATCGTATCCGAGAGCGTACCTGTCGAATCTGTGGTAAGAATTTCTGGGTTCGATCCACTTTCTTTGTCCGAGATAAGGGTTCCACACAAGAAGCCTTTCGTCTCCGGTGGTGACGCATAAGAACAAACCGTCGCAGTGAATGATTTTAGATATGTCGACTCCATCTGCGTTGATATTACCTATAGGCTCTATAGATGGATAGAGGAGATTGACGCTCATCAAAGACACTCTCTTTTCCAGCAACATCACCACCTTGATTTCAATTCCCTTCCTTTGCTTCTGCTTCTTCTTTGATGCTCCTTCTGCTGATTCACCCATGTGCCTCTTCAAAAAGCTATGACCTTTCGTTATGCTGTTCCACTTTTTGCAGGTCGATCGTACTTCTCCCAGAGATGTCACCGGAAGCTTCGACAGCACCTCCTCCTCCATCTCCCTCGGAAGATCGGACATCTTCGGACCGGATCTGTAATGGAAAATCAGTTAGGATCAAACCTCCCAATGCTCTGTTTCGTTGTCTCCGATTTATTCCTGTCTCGTATTTCAATCCCATCTCTTCACTTTCCTAATCGTCATTGGTTGATAAGTTGACTTTTTGAAATTGGCCTTAAAGTAATGGCCCAAGTCCTTACTAATAACATTTTATGCCTTACTAATCAGTTCCGCATCATAGTCAAAAAACTCAAAACAGAGGCCTATACCTTACTAATAAGTACTACAATAACATATTACAATCGTTTCAGTAATTACTTTTCGTGCCAAAGACATACTGTATCTACCAACTTTATACAGAGAATATTTTTAGACTTGGACGGCACACAGACCCAAGTCCCTCCAACAACATTTCCTTCAATGTTGGTAATTTTAAGTGCTACGCCCAAAATTAAATGGAAACTAAATTAAAAAAAAGGATACGACGCGTATTTGAGCGTTACAGGCGTCCGCGTTTAAGTGCCACGTGGCAGAAGATGATTGGCTCTTCCTTAATGAGAAGAAACAAAACGCATTTTTTCTGCTTCATTTTTCTCTGTCGGTTCTCTCTCCTCCCTCTCTCTACTCCGTTGATCTTCCATGGCGATCTGGCGATTTGATGTTGATTGTAAGCAATCATCGATTTCTGGTGAGAAATCGGTCCGTTTCTCATGCCTCCGGTCCTCGACTCTTCCTCTCTACATCGATCTCGTTCGCTCGTCCGAATCGTCTCATCTCCATCATCTCATCTCCATCGTTCATCTACTTCGTTCTCAGTCACCATGTACCGTGTCGCTTCTAATCTCGCCTCCAAGGCAAGGTACGAACTCATTTTCTTTGTATTGGTAATTCGGTTTTCTATTAGGTTTACTTAAAAATTGAAGGAAATGGGGAAATCAATTGATATGGGTTTTGGTCTCGTCTCCTTCATTGGCTCTTCAGATCTGCTTCCTTTTATCCCGATTTCTTCGATTGATTTGGTTTCTCGTTTTCTCTCTGTTCTCAGGATTGCTAGCAACACTCGAGAGGTTTCCAGTACAATGAGCTGGAGCAGAAACTATGCAGCGAAAGAGATTAAGTTTGGGGTTGAAGCTGGTGGCTTGATGCTTAGAGGTGTGGAAGTTTGGTAGCGAGATGGGAACTTTTCATTCTGCTAAAGATGCGGTGAAGCTCTTCAACACTGGTTTCTCTGGAGGAGGTTGTGATTGCAATTTGCAGGGAGTGTTGGCGGAGGAGACAAATATCTGTTTCTGGGAAAAAGAGGTGGACAAGTTGAAGGAGAAGGTGCATAATGCTGAGACGGCCAAGATTGAGGCTTTGTTAGAGCTTGAAGAAGCCAAGGAAACAGTTGAACATGAGAATTGGTGACAAAAGTTTAGATTTGAGCAGTAATGTTAGAACTGTGATTTCGGAGCTAGGCCTTGCTAAGGAATTGCTTGAAAGAGTAGCCGAAGAAGAGAGTGAATCGGGAATTTGGCAGAATATGAGAAATGCTGACAAGGGTTTATATTTGAGTAGTAATGAGAGAGTTGTGACTTCTGAGCTAGGCGTTGCTAAGGAATCGCTTCACAGAGTAGCTGAAGACTGAAGAGGAGACTGAATTGTGTGTATTGATGGAGTCTTTTAGGCTCGAGCTTCAAAACGTGAAGAGAGAGCATTCACGGCTTAAAGAGAATGAGCAGAGACAGAGGGATCAAAGCCGTTGAGGAGCTGAACAAGGAAACCGATAATGCAAAGAAGGAGCTCTTACCGCTCGAAGACTTGGGCTTGAGGCCCATAAAGAAACAGTCGATATAAATCCACCTGACTTAAGGCCCAATACTTCTTGGTTTACCTTTTCTTCTTTTTTTTTCTTTTTCATTTTTTTTAAAATCCCTTATTGGTTTATCAGTAACAGAAGTTGTTACAGTCTGCAACTTGCAGAGAATCACAACACCGCGCGCGAGAGAGAAAAGCTTGAAGAGGGATAAAGAGACGAACACAGTGAAGCTGAGAGGGAGAGAGATCAAAATCCATCATCGAGAGATTGAGAAGTTGAAATGCCTCCTCCTGCTGCGAATTGCTTGTGATCCTCTTCATTTTCCTCATTGTTCTTCGCGAAACCTGCAACAACAATCGTAACTCGTAAGCGTGATTGAGAACTTGAAGTCTTTGCAGAGAATCACAATCTGAGAGGGAGAGAGATCAAATGCGTCCTCCTGCTGCGAATTTCTTGTGATCATCTTCTTCGCGAAACCTGCAACAACAATCGTAACTCGTAAGCGTGATCGAGAACTTGAAGTCTTCGTAAGCGTCTTCTTCCTCATAATTTCTTGTGATCTCTTTATTTGCTCATCATCCTTGTTCTTCCGGAATCCACGAATTTTGAGATTCGAATCATATCTGATCGCTAAGGTCTTGGTGCTGATTTTATTTTCTAGGTCTTTGTGCCATGGCGGTCAACTTGCAGCACCAGGATTACACAGGTACGGAAGATTTTTCTCCGTCTTCGATTTGTATTATTTAGGAATTGAAACCGCCTCCATTAGAAAGATAACTATAGTTTTTTTCTTTCTTTAGATGAAAATCTAGCAAACATCATAGAGAGCTCTTGGAATGAATGGTTTTCTTACGACGATGTCAAGACCCTATTTGAATCTGGTGATCAACTCCAAATTTCAACTGAACCGATCAAGACATCTCCAGAAGGATTGTACCTCTATGGAAGTGATGGCAATATAGATGAATTAGAATGGGATGAAGAAGATGCCGTTGTTGCTTGGGAGGACAACGAAGTGGTCAGAGAAGTAGTCATCTTGTGCAGAGCTTCGTACAATGTCTTTGAAACTCTTCCAGTGAAGAGGACTCTTGAAAGAAGGAGGTATGCGTCGGCAAACTTTCAGAATCACTGCCTAGTTCACTATCGGGTAATACACGAGGAAGTCAATGCTCAAGATGTTGAAGAAGAAGTTGAAGACCCTGATGAAGACGACGATGATTACTATGACGGAGAGGACGATGATGATGACGGGAGTGGTGGAGACGACGATGATGGAGACGGGGGTAGTGGAGACGAATTTGAAGAAGCTGCCGAAGATGGTGATGACTATCCTCCTGATATTGCTGCTCCTGTCGCTGCAGCTGCTTGGGCCATGGATCTTGCAGTTGACCACCCTGCTACCGATATTGCTCCTGCGGCTGCCGCTTCTCTAAGTAGTTTACATTCTGATCTACGTGATGATGCCTTGGAAAAAGTATGTGGCGGTCTTGACATTCTCCAAGAGGTAATGGGATTCTAGTGTGATCTCTCTGAGTCAGCGAGTATCAAAGTTTTCTTATGTCTTCTACTGTTTAATGGTCATAGGCTGAAGATGAAGTGAAAACACTGAATCCGAATCCCCTGAAGTCCAGCGAAATGAAGTCCAGCGAAGGATGTGGCGGTCTTGACATTCTCCAAGAGGTAATGGGATTCTATTGTGATCTCTCTGAGTCAGCGAGTATCAAAGTTTTCTTATGTCTTCTACTGTTTAATGGTCATAGGCTGAAGTTGAAGTGAAGACATTGAATCCCCTGAAGTCCAGCGAAGGATGTGACGGTCTTGACATTCTCCAAGAGGTAATGAGATTCTAGTGTAATCTCTCTGAGTCAGCGAGTATCAAAGTATTCTTATGTCTTCTACTGTATAATGGTCATAGGCTGAAGTTGAAGTGAAGACACTGAATCCCCTGAAGTCCAGCGAAATGAAGAAACGGAAACGGGTGTTTAAGAAGAACGAAGAAAGAAGGATTGATGACTGTGAAAAGGTGACTACACTTTCTGCTTTAAGATCATAGAAACTATTAGAGAGTATCTGAATTTATATGTTTCCTACAGTTGTTTGTATGACGGAAAATCGTTTTCTTTTTTTTTGTGTTTTGCTCGCTTAACAGGAGGGAAATCGTTTCAGTGCTGTTAGAGGAGCGCACAAAAAAATAAAACGCGCAGAGAAAGCTGAGAGCAAAATTCCTGGTGAGTTTTTATAGTTTTACACATGCTTTGGAATAGTTTTCAGTAATCTACTTTTCTCCAAGATTCTTACTTTAGCATGCCTAGTTTTTAGAAGTTTGCCCCAATGTGCTTTTCCTGGTTTAGCTCCAATTAACATTCATTTTGAGAAGCCATCATTCATCTGGTGTTTAGTGACAAATTTTCCTTTTGCAGGTGATATTGCTCAGTCTGATATTCTTGCTAGCAGAGATGGTGAAGTCGACAAGGCTAAAGAGGAAGGTTTAAGCGGGCAGGATATTCTGGACAAAACTGATTGATGGTATGACCACCAAAGTGAAGGCCTTGGAAAAAGATAAGCGTAGTTACCTTCTTACCTGACAAGGTAATTGATCTCTCTATACACTTATGCAATTTTCTTTCAAAGATTGATTCAGCTTATGTGATTTATCCCTTTCTGATCCAGCTACCCATTGTTACAAACACTTGAAGAAAGCATGGATTCCGAGTATGTGTATCAGAACAAAAACACAGATTGTAGTCAATTGTTTTGTTTTTGAACATGTTAACACAGATATGTAGTCAATTGTTTAGTTTTTGAACATGTTGTGAGATGAGACTTGTGAATGTGTCTTTCTTTTTAGTTCCTTTGCTTATGACGTTTACATACTTTAGCAAATAGGAATGAATTTGTGAATATGTCTTTCTTTTTAGTTCCTTTGCTTATGACAGTTTACATACTTTAGTAAATAGGAATGAATATATTTCTATCACTAGCAAGTTATTGATCTCTAACCAAAGTTTACACGAGGTTAAGTGATGGTTAAACATTTCTCACCTCCTCAAACTCTGTAATTACAATAGCCACGTTCTCAATCTTCCGCACGACCAATAAAGCAATGAGTCATAACAACACTAATACCAAGTATGTGCAAACGGATTCATGACTCAATGCCTCTTCCTCGCTAATTATAGCTTTTGAGATCCTTTTTGTTATCAACGCAAATCTCAGTTACCACCACCACAAAGGAGAAGTAAGAATTTAATGGAGGAAAACTGACAACGACAGCATGCTTGTTGTCAAGCCAGTCGCATTTTCCACTACTGATGAAGAGGTGCAATGCAAAGAGACTCAAAAGACTCAAAACAGAAGGCACCGAACAGCTCACTGCTTGCATTGTATACATTTTGTTTACAGTTTGTCTCAATTCACAGGTGGAGGCCCATTACAATGAAACTGAAATTACCAGAAAAGACAAAAACGACACTAATCTACATATTATCCTCTAATCAAATTATTGAAAACAGCATCACTAATCACGTAGGAAGGATGTTCCACTTCCACTTCTACATAAATATGAAAAGCAAATGTTCTTACTCAATGCATAAATAGCTCTAATGTTGTTTCAAATTTTGGTGGTTATTACTTATTAGCATGGTCTGCCACAACCATCTGATCATAACCAACCTGTTTTCCAAGGGAACCAACTAAAGGCCAGAATGAGTACACTGGTTCATTAGCTTCAAACTTTAGCTTAAACAATCGTTTCAGTAATTACCAAAGACATATCTAACAACTTTATACAGAGAATACTTGGAGTGGAGAAATACAGTAGGAGTCCTTTGGAGTTCCTGCATTCTGCCACTACAGCAAAGCAACAACAGATTTGGACGGCACACAGACCCAAGTCCCTCCAACAACATCTCCTTCAATGATGAGAATTTTAAGTCCCTAAGAAGAACAAAATCGAGTTCTTGGCACAACCACCAAACCAACAGATTTAAAACAGAACAAAAATGTACAGGACAAGTCAGGTGGCTAAAAAAGAGTTAAGAAGGGCAGCAACACTCTTTTCTTCTCAGCTAATTAAAAAAGCTTTCAAGGGAAAAGCTTGTACAGTATTTTGAATGGACATAACAAAATAAAAAGAAGAACGCAGAGGCTATGTTGAGTTGAGGAACCAACAGTTGTAAATCAGTTATATAAGCACTAGAGTACAAATTCTTAGATTAAGGTGTGTTCTTCTGGCTGCCCAGTATTGCAGGTTGCTCGATTTGCACTGAGCTAGGAACATAAGAGCTCACAAGGGGAAAACAACAATACTGTTTAGATTCGCCAAGATCAACTTGTTTGAAGTAGCCATTATCTCCAACGATGCAAGCCGTGTTGCGAGTTGTTGGGCCAGGACTACCTCTGTCTTTATGAAGAACCACCGCGAGCTTCTCCTCCTCGTCAACAAAGAAACTCGCAGCGTAATTGTTAAACCGAACACCAATGAGTGGTCTCATATCAACAGCTAAGAACAAGCTGCTCCACGACACTGCATTCGGCTCAATCTTACTACTAATCCATATCTCGACCGTGTATACAGGCGCACGGTTTCCCTGAAACAGCACCGCGAGCTGCTCTTCTCTGACGCTAGAAAGAGTCACCGTGTCTCCAACGAGACCGTGGAAAGGCAGAGGCAGGCGCGGTCCAAACCTCTCCGTTTCGAAATCAAAACAGATTAGGAAATCAGCGACATCTATCCTACTTGATGCCAACTTGTCACGAGCATACCAGTAAGTGTTGCCCTTTAGAGACAAGCCACGGAGGATAAACGAAGTGGTCCAGTCGTGGTCGGGACCGACATCAACAACCTTCCATGAGTTGGAGTCTAAACTGTAGATTTCAAACTCGCAAACTCGGTGCTTGACTCTCGGGTCGTAATCATTCACAAATCTCAAGACTTTGTGCTTCTTCTTATTATCGTATCCGAGAGCGTAACTGTCGAATCTGTGGTAAGAAGTTCTGGGTTCGATCCACCTTGTTTGTCCCAGATAAGGGTTCAACACAACAACCCTAGAGGAGTTTTCCTCTTCAGTGATGCATAAGAACAAACCGTCGCAGTGAATGATTTTAGATATGTCGACTCCATCTGCGTTGATATTACCTATAGGCTCTATAGATGGATAGAGGAGATTGACGCTCATCAAAGACACTCTCTTTTCCAGCAACATCACCACCTTGATTTCAATTCCCTTCCTTTGCTTCTGCTTCTTCTTTGATGCTCCTTCTGCTGATTCACCCATGTGCCTCTTCAAAAAGCTATGACCTTTCGTTATGCTGTTCCACTTTTTGCAGGTCGATCGTACTTCTCCCAGAGATGTCACCGGAAGCTTCGACAGCACCTCCTCCTCCATCTCCCTCGGAAGATCGGACATCTTCGGACCGGATCTGTAATGGAAAATCAGTTAGGATCAAACCTCCCAATGCTCTGTTTCGTTGTCTCCGATTTATTCCTGTCTCGTATTTCAATCCCATCTCTTCACTTTCCTAATCGTCATTGGTTGATAAGTTGACTTTTTGAAATTGGCCTTAAAGTAATGGCCCAAGTCCTTACTAATAACATTTTATGCCTTACTAATCAGTTCCGCATCATAGTCAAAAAACTCAAAACAGAGGCCTATACCTTACTAATAAGTACTACAATAACATATTACAATCGTTTCAGTAATTACTTTTCGTGCCAAAGACATACTGTATCTACCAACTTTATACAGAGAATATTTTTAGACTTGGACGGCACACAGACCCAAGTCCCTCCAACAACATTTCCTTCAATGTTGGTAATTTTAAGTGCTACGCCCAAAATTAAATGGAAACTAAATTAAAAAAAAGGATACGACGCGTATTTGAGCGTTACAGGCGTCCGCGTTTAAGTGCCACGTGGCAGAAGATGATTGGCTCTTCCTTAATGAGAAGAAACAAAACGCATTTTTTCTGCTTCATTTTTCTCTGTCGGTTCTCTCTCCTCCCTCTCTCTACTCCGTTGATCTTCCATGGCGATCTGGCGATTTGATGTTGATTGTAAGCAATCATCGATTTCTGGTGAGAAATCGGTCCGTTTCTCATGCCTCCGGTCCTCGACTCTTCCTCTCTACATCGATCTCGTTCGCTCGTCCGAATCGTCTCATCTCCATCATCTCATCTCCATCGTTCATCTACTTCGTTCTCAGTCACCATGTACCGTGTCGCTTCTAATCTCGCCTCCAAGGCAAGGTACGAACTCATTTTCTTTGTATTGGTAATTCGGTTTTCTATTAGGTTTACTTAAAAATTGAAGGAAATGGGGAAATCAATTGATATGGGTTTTGGTCTCGTCTCCTTCATTGGCTCTTCAGATCTGCTTCCTTTTATCCCGATTTCTTCGATTGATTTGGTTTCTCGTTTTCTCTCTGTTCTCAGGATTGCTAGCAACACTCGAGAGGTTTCCAGTACAATGAGCTGGAGCAGAAACTATGCAGCGAAAGAGATTAAGTTTGGGGTTGAAGCTGGTGGCTTGATGCTTAGAGGTGTGGAAGTTTGGTAGCGAGATGGGAACTTTTCATTCTGCTAAAGATGCGGTGAAGCTCTTCAACACTGGTTTCTCTGGAGGAGGTTGTGATTGCAATTTGCAGGGAGTGTTGGCGGAGGAGACAAATATCTGTTTCTGGGAAAAAGAGGTGGACAAGTTGAAGGAGAAGGTGCATAATGCTGAGACGGCCAAGATTGAGGCTTTGTTAGAGCTTGAAGAAGCCAAGGAAACAGTTGAACATGAGAATTGGTGACAAAAGTTTAGATTTGAGCAGTAATGTTAGAACTGTGATTTCGGAGCTAGGCCTTGCTAAGGAATTGCTTGAAAGAGTAGCCGAAGAAGAGAGTGAATCGGGAATTTGGCAGAATATGAGAAATGCTGACAAGGGTTTATATTTGAGTAGTAATGAGAGAGTTGTGACTTCTGAGCTAGGCGTTGCTAAGGAATCGCTTCACAGAGTAGCTGAAGACTGAAGAGGAGACTGAATTGTGTGTATTGATGGAGTCTTTTAGGCTCGAGCTTCAAAACGTGAAGAGAGAGCATTCACGGCTTAAAGAGAATGAGCAGAGACAGAGGGATCAAAGCCGTTGAGGAGCTGAACAAGGAAACCGATAATGCAAAGAAGGAGCTCTTACCGCTCGAAGACTTGGGCTTGAGGCCCATAAAGAAACAGTCGATATAAATCCACCTGACTTAAGGCCCAATACTTCTTGGTTTACCTTTTCTTCTTTTTTTTTCTTTTTCATTTTTTTTAAAATCCCTTATTGGTTTATCAGTAACAGAAGTTGTTACAGTCTGCAACTTGCAGAGAATCACAACACCGCGCGCGAGAGAGAAAAGCTTGAAGAGGGATAAAGAGACGAACACAGTGAAGCTGAGAGGGAGAGAGATCAAAATCCATCATCGAGAGATTGAGAAGTTGAAATGCCTCCTCCTGCTGCGAATTGCTTGTGATCCTCTTCATTTTCCTCATTGTTCTTCGCGAAACCTGCAACAACAATCGTAACTCGTAAGCGTGATTGAGAACTTGAAGTCTTTGCAGAGAATCACAATCTGAGAGGGAGAGAGATCAAATGCGTCCTCCTGCTGCGAATTTCTTGTGATCATCTTCTTCGCGAAACCTGCAACAACAATCGTAACTCGTAAGCGTGATCGAGAACTTGAAGTCTTCGTAAGCGTCTTCTTCCTCATAATTTCTTGTGATCTCTTTATTTGCTCATCATCCTTGTTCTTCCGGAATCCACGAATTTTGAGATTCGAATCATATCTGATCGCTAAGGTCTTGGTGCTGATTTTATTTTCTAGGTCTTTGTGCCATGGCGGTCAACTTGCAGCACCAGGATTACACAGGTACGGAAGATTTTTCTCCGTCTTCGATTTGTATTATTTAGGAATTGAAACCGCCTCCATTAGAAAGATAACTATAGTTTTTTTCTTTCTTTAGATGAAAATCTAGCAAACATCATAGAGAGCTCTTGGAATGAATGGTTTTCTTACGACGATGTCAAGACCCTATTTGAATCTGGTGATCAACTCCAAATTTCAACTGAACCGATCAAGACATCTCCAGAAGGATTGTACCTCTATGGAAGTGATGGCAATATAGATGAATTAGAATGGGATGAAGAAGATGCCGTTGTTGCTTGGGAGGACAACGAAGTGGTCAGAGAAGTAGTCATCTTGTGCAGAGCTTCGTACAATGTCTTTGAAACTCTTCCAGTGAAGAGGACTCTTGAAAGAAGGAGGTATGCGTCGGCAAACTTTCAGAATCACTGCCTAGTTCACTATCGGGTAATACACGAGGAAGTCAATGCTCAAGATGTTGAAGAAGAAGTTGAAGACCCTGATGAAGACGACGATGATTACTATGACGGAGAGGACGATGATGATGACGGGAGTGGTGGAGACGACGATGATGGAGACGGGGGTAGTGGAGACGAATTTGAAGAAGCTGCCGAAGATGGTGATGACTATCCTCCTGATATTGCTGCTCCTGTCGCTGCAGCTGCTTGGGCCATGGATCTTGCAGTTGACCACCCTGCTACCGATATTGCTCCTGCGGCTGCCGCTTCTCTAAGTAGTTTACATTCTGATCTACGTGATGATGCCTTGGAAAAAGTATGTGGCGGTCTTGACATTCTCCAAGAGGTAATGGGATTCTA